TGTGCTGAAATAATGCAGCCACTTATCAAAATGTCTCCTTGCAGGGCTGAAGATGGCATCCTATTATTTGCTCTTGTTTAATTTGGCACTAAAAAAAACCCAAAACCAACTAAGACCATATGAATAAGGAGTTCAATAAGGAGTTATCACACAGCTCACGTTTCTTAACTCTTTCTGTGCATAATAAGCTAATGTAAACTGCAAGGAGAAACCGTAAGATTTATCCTTACCATCTCCTTTTAAGAACAAGTCTAAGAAAGCAGTCCAGGTGTCTATAGTGGGAAGGTTTGGGTTATCTCTGTAGTAATGATACATGGAAACTGCAGTATCTTTTGGATTTCTGCTGATGTAGATCATCTGTAAATGAAGATGGTATGGTTATTGATGATAATATCCTTCCTTTATTTTAGAAGAGCTCTGTGTGTAAATGTAACATTTTCACAGGCAGTTTGCAGTGTCAAAACCCTCTCCTTTAGGTTTCCTCCTTCGGTGACTATGCCATTAAAATAGAAATATATTTGTCTCTTCTTAGATGAGAGTCAGTAGTGGTTAGTAAACAATTCTGTGTGGACAGAGGGGTGTTTGCTACAGCTGGGTGATGTTTATGTTTTAGGAAAGAGGCTGTGTTCATTTTAACTCATGAGTCAGTACTGTCTCATATATCTAACATATGAAACCATTTACTAATTAACATTCACAGGACAGCTGCAAAACATAATTTTTGGCCCTTCATTAAAATTAGCTTTGTCTCAAAAGTCTGGATCTGAGTAATCCTGAAATTTTGAACTTTCAATGTAAAACCTGAGACCCAGAGCTTAATTTTTAAAGACCTCCCACATTAGTATGGGATGAACTCAAAACTGTGATCTGCATTGCCTCCCACATTTCAGTTCTCCTCTGTTTGCCTGATATCTCTTTATACGGGGTATTCACAAAGCTTCAACAGGAAGGGCAGAGTACCTTCACCCCCAGAACAGCCTGTAAGTACCCAAGGTAAGTATTTTCTAAGCCAGTGCTGCAGCCATTAGGAAATGGGGCCATAAGAACACCCCCCCATCCCTACTAATATATTTCTGACTGAAAGATGTTGCTGTACTATTTTGTGTGGTGCCTGGTATACAGATCACCTCGTAGGAGCAGTGGGGCAGGAGCAGAACCCAGTCCTTAGCCCAAGCCTCTGCTCATGCTACCTTCAACTGCTGGTCACAGCAAATCACTTCTGGAAACTGTAAATAATTTTAAAATTATTAAGGATCAACAAGACAAAGTAGATTCCTAATAGACACTTAGCATATCTTACTGCTTTTATATCTTTTTGCCTTACCTTGCATTTTTTATTCTTAAAATTTGGAGGTAGCATGTTGTAGTCTAAGTGTGTTGGGATGATTCTCTTTGATGAGAGTTTATTCAGCTCCTCCAGTTTGGAAATGTCTCCAAATTCAATGGGAGATGTTAGTGTAACTTGAGTATTGTAAAGCTTTGTTAGAACTCCTGCAAGCCAGTGAGTACCTGCAGAAAAGTAATTTTAAGGGGTGAAAAAAAAAAAAAAAAAAAAGACAAAAAAGGAAGATTTGTTACTGAGAAAATATGTGGAATATACATTTTGCATGAGGAAACAGCTTGCTAGTGCACAAGTGGTACTTCTAAGCCCCCAGATTCAAGAAACTTTACATAACTGAATAATCCCATTGGCTCCAAATGTAGAACTACTGGAAAAAATAAGGCTGTAGCTGAAGTACAAAGTAACTCTGGGAGAAATTGATACCAAAACAATCTCATTAGACAGCTGAGAGGTGTTTATATTATTTTTATGATTTATTTTAAAATAACGTGGGTGTTTTTTCCTTATAGTAACTTGAGTCTGTATATTTGGAAAGTACTGACTGTGCTTCCTCTTTGGTGTGTGCTTCTGTGTGCAAGTGAGGCAGGGGGAGACGGAATAAGAAGTGAATAAATCTATAGCTAAGAGCCATACAAATAACTTAATACAACTCTTGACTCACTCACAGCTGAATGTAGAAAGTACTCAGGAAAATCCTTCAAGTACAGATTTTGCTTACAAGAAAGAAATATTTACTTGCTTTCCGATATGAAAACACCTGAGATTATTTTCAATTAAAGAATCAAAATTTAGATAAATGACCCATATGTATTTCTAATTTGAACACTTACTGACAGAATAATACATTCACACACTCAAACATCCTTTCTTGTTACTAGTACACGGACATTTTCCAACTAGATTAAGCAGAGAACATGAAACAAACGATTGAGACTTCTTGCAATTAACATCTAAAAGTAGAACTTACCAGATTTGGGATAGGAGACCAAAAGGACATCATCTTCTCTAGCATCAAAAGTATCCAAGGATTTTAAAAGTTCTGGAGAAGACCTGGTGGTAAAGGGAATCCCCTTAAACATGTGAATGAGTTCTGCCTTACTGGGATTGGACATGGTTGCTTAAGTCTTGGATTCCTGCAAATCAGATAACGGTGAAATGATGAGGATTTAAGAGTCACTTCTAAGTCAGATGGTTTGAAGTGACAAATGCAAGACCAAGCAATGAGTCCAAGCAAAAGAGAACGAGCAATGCAAACCTCATGCTTATATACTTTGCTGCATGCCATGGAGTCCTATCAGATATTGATTTTTCCATCTAGTTGATAAAGGCAACTGAAATATTAGAGGTAACTTGATAAATAACTGAAATGCAGAGTCATGAAAAATGCATATCATTTGTCATTTATTAGCTCTCCAGATAAAGTAATGAGGTGTTAGTCAAAATGTATTAATTGTGGAAAATTACAAGAATGAACATTATATGTTGCCTTAAAATATACTCAATATGATTATTCTATAAGTTATACTTTGTTGGAAGCTGTTTTAGCTTCCAAGGAAAAAGCTATATCTTAAAATACTTTTTATGAATATAAAAACAATGTCTTATTTTATGTGAATGAAATATTTTTGCTTTCATTTTACCAAATATATAACAGCCTGAATTTTCAAAAGTGCAAACTGATTCTAAATGCTTAAATTTTGTGATGTTAAGGAACTAGTTTTTTTCCTGAGGCATCTTAAAAACAGAGACACTTAGAGGCACAGTCATTTTTAAAGATGTCATATGTCTCCATAACAGGAGTACAGACAACAAAAATCACAAATTTAAAATGGATATTTAACATTGGCTTGAATCCTGCATGTTTCATGACTAGAAGTGGTTGAAGATTTTTAAATCTTTCCACGGAATATGTGAATTCATCAAAATAAAAGTTGCTTGCAGGGAAGAGGCAGTTCTTAATTAATTACCTGTTTTGAAACGTATTTTTTGAAAAAATTTGAATCTGTGGAAATTATCATTAATGTTTCTGAAACTGAAAACTCCACTTTTGTTTAAAGTGACCTTAAGCAATGTGAATGCATCACAATAAAATAAATAGCTCAGTTTTGAATCAAAACATTTTTGAATGCTTCATGTTTTCAATTTTTCTTTCAATGGCCACGAATTAATTTACTCATTTTTACATTCTTTTCCTCAAACATCCAGTGACTTTGCTATTCCTATAGAAAACCTGCTACAATATATTCAGCTGTGGCCCTTCAATATCTTCAACTTAACCTGAGAACCTGCATGCAAACTTTGGTTTAAAATAAAGCAGTTATTCAGGAATTTCCAAGTTTAGCAAGGTCCCAGTTCTTTTTTTTTCATCATAAATAATAACTTAGGGTTCATCATGGGAGCTGACTACCAGTCATACCTCCCATGACCCCTGGTAAGAAGTTAATGATTAGAGATGACCTTCCAAGAAATAACTAAGCAGTCAAGATTACTCACAAGCAGTAAGGACAGTTACCAGCTTCTGTATTTGCTTCTTTCTAATTCAATCTCCAGAAAAGCCAGCAATATAGGATTGATTTTTTTTCCTCCCCCTTTCTTTTCTTTGCAGTATTGCCAGCCTACCAGTCAAAGGGAAGTGAAGTCAGCAAGCCTAGGTCTTCTCACCTGTGTTGTCTATAAAGTTGCCCTTAAACTGTTATTACCTGCAAAATGTGCCCTGTGCCATCAGTAAATGCCAAGTTCCAGTTATGTAGGGCCAAGTGGGGATGAAAATCATGGAAAATACGCTCTGGAGAGGTGTTCCCTGTCCCTGGGGATGAGAAGCGTTAGAGGAGTGTTTCCAGGAGGTAATCAAGTGAGTCAGCGAGGGAACAAGAATCACTTGGGTATTGATGCTCAGGGCGGAGTTGGGAGATGTCTCAGTGGTGAGGAGCTCAATGTTTTCCTCTTGCTCCTGGTCTGAAGACCTAAGCCATCACTTCGTATCTTAAGGTGTAAATCCTTAAAAATCTATCCTGTCAACAGATTTCACTTTGGTTACTTCAGGTATACAAAGTATGTTTGGAGACATAAAGATACCTGTTTCTGTGTTATGCTGAACATCTGTATTAGTCTGAATACAGAGATTTCTAAGGTTTATTTTTCAGTCATCATTCCAGCCATATGCATTTAGTGCAAGCTAATAAAACTGTGTTACCTTGACCTAGCAAAAATAATCTTATTGCAAAATGCGTTGCATATTTACTATGCCTTTTCCCTTTCATTTCTGCCTGCAGTCCTATTATGTTTTTAGTCAGCACATTTGCCTAATCTAATCACTTGGACCTTAATTAATCATTCACAAAGGAAATGGCTAAGGTGTAAAACAGAAGCAATACAGTAGCAAAGAAAATTCTGATTCTCTTAACTCATCTCAATTGCTTTTTATACTAGCTTCTCTTTTCAGCATGCATAATGTTAATCCAGGGAAATCAATCTGAAATTGGTGCTCCTCAAATGCTGCCTATACTTGGAAAATAGGACCCACCCCTGCAAGTGTACAGTATCCTGAATTGCAATGGTCTAAGGAAAAGAAGAGTATTCAGCACCTTGCAAGAAAAAGTTATTATAAAAATTACACTAACTACATTAGCATAAAAAGTACATTATTATAGCTACATTACACGAAGAGAGCACAGATGTAAAGAATGCCATGCCAAATCATCCATCCAACTTCAATTTTCTTGTTTATCGGTGTTACAACACGGAATATAGACTACAACTGATGCATTTTAGGCTGGATGAACACAGGCATGGCAAGCTAATACCGACCAATTCCTGTATCTATTGCCTAGGTCTCTGTCACAGGGTCTGAGGAGTTTCTCCCAGCACCAGGTTGTCCTTGTCCTGGTCTCTGGCCCCGCTGTCGGTACAGATGGAGTATGCATTTTACCAGCAGGCTTCACAGATACTTGCTAGCAATAGAACAATATTAAACTTTGGGGTTTGGGGTTTCTCTGTGGTTTGAGGAAAATACAGCTTGGTAGCTCGACACTGTGCTCCTGAGCTACTTCAGTCCAAATCCTTCTGCCTCCGTGTCTGACTTACTTTCTCCCATCTATGTTCTTGTCTGGGTGAGTAACTTCTTTCTGTTGCTTTAAATGACTCAGAAAATTTGACTGTTCTGTTTCTGCCTCTACCCTGCCACCTCCACTTCAGGCTCAGCATTCTCTTCTCTGCTTGATAAAAGACAGCACCATGTACATCTCCTTCAACTGAAGATTTCTCAGTTGATGCCAATCACGATACTGTTCCCCTCCAAGTACATCTTGGGCAGCATGTACTAAAGAAATAGTGACATTGTGGAAAATATGCAGATGAAGTCATATGTGTTGGTTACACAAGTCAGAATTTGGATGTACATCCACAGGGTTCCGAACGTTTTTAGCTAGCACTGTCAAGCATCAGGTTTCTCACTTTTTGAAATGCCCTAAAGCCGTGAAATATTTCAGTCTTGTCATATTGATTAATGAATGGAGAGGTAAGACTCACGTCGCCTGTCATAAGGTTTTGTTGCTCTAATTCTCCATGTCACCTGAAATTAGTAGAAGTTACGTCCCCAAAGCTTGTCCCTGTATGTAATGTTTGTACACAGGCTCTGCAACAGTGATGAAGGAGTGACATCTTTCAAGACTATTTCAGTGCAGAATATCAAACACAGCTGCTGTTACAAAGTGTGCAAGACTGATCTCCAACACCGAAGTTCAGCTAGGAAAGCCACTGTTCCAGGTAAGCTGTGTAGTCCCTTCCACAGCTCCAACTTCTTTTCCATACCTCCATGATGATCTGAACCCCACAGTCTTTTCTGGAGGGATCACACTCTTGAACCTTTGCTTTCCCATAGTGCAGAATGACATCCCTATTTATTTCAATGTTACAACTGTAGTGTCTCTTCTAAGTTTATGGTCAATGAAGAGGTTTTATGGTTTAATAGAGACAGCCTGCAAAATGTTGAATATAGCAGGAGTACTCAGACTGGGAATTTAGGGCACCTCAGTACCTAGATGTCGACAGCTTAGGAAGCGAACCCTGCTCTTCTATGTGGTTCTAAAAAACCTTCAGGTGCAGAGTGGATGTAGGGCTGTCCACAACACATCAGGACTCAGCTGGGCTGTAGTAACTGTCCATCAGTGTGCTCTGAGCTGGTCCCAGCTGTCAGGTAGTGTGACTTAGCCAAAGCCCCTTCACCAGAATGGGCATTGCATAGCTTTACACTTCTAACAGCAGTCCTCTACCTGGTAGGCTTTCTTGCAGTGCCTGGACTTGTGCAGAGAAGCCTTCCTTCATTGTCCTATTACTGTAAAAGTCGGTCAGAAGAACCTTCTAAGACTCAGTTTGGAGTTTTTAGAAAGCAGGCATTCCTTTATTGCAGCGCTGGATGCACAGGGGGTCGTTCCGCCTAACATCCATGTCAAGCCAAATGAAGGTATACATTATATACAATAAAATATTTGCATATTCATAGTACCCTGCATATTCTTTGCTATTCACACTTAGGATTGGTTACAAGTTTCTCACTTCTAATGCAAATTAGTACGCATCCTCAGATAGCAGTAATGAAGCCTTTTCATCAACTGTGCATACTCCCCAAATGGGGTTTTGCCCTCTTTCAAGGGGGCCAATTGAGTCGGTGGTCGTGATCTCCCTCTGCCGCCTTTACCTTTCCCCCAGTTACTGCTGATTTACATCAGTCCCATAGTTCAATACTAATTAAGTACTATGATTTAACAACTCTGATTCATCTGATTTCTTAGGCATTGCTATCTGTAGCAGCTGCACCTGCGTTTACGTATACTGTGAAGGAAGTCAACCCTATGTGCAGCGTCATGTTGTATTTATGGCATTGCAGATTCTAAAGTTCCTTGACCTTCTTTTATCCTTTTCACAAGAAAACATGGTCTGAGGTTGTTTTGTGCCAAATCCACAACTGATACAGCTAATCACAACAGTCCCATTGCTGTCAGCAGAGCTGTGCCCTTTGGAGAGCTGGCAGGCAAATGCCACGTCTGTGGGGTTACCACTGCCACTCTGGCCCCTGCCCTGCGACTGCACCTGCAAGGCATGAACACATACATAA